CACTATCTTAAAAACTCGGATTATTTTTCATTCATATAATACAAGAAAGAAAGCAGAGCAAATATTGACTATGGGGAGAGCCATCAGAAGTATTGTAGATTGATAAATTGACAAGTATTAAATGCTAGGAAACCAATATGTCTCCCGCCCTATGGCTAAAACGGACATGGATTACATATATGATATATGCATAAATTAGCCTAATATTATAAGTATTCCAAGCCCAAAAAGGGCAGCCTTTCTTCTCAACAAAAAGGTGGTCTAATAGGCAAATTTATAAGTAAACCTAAGGAATAAACAAAATCAAGTAATATGCCATTAAAATCTTGAACAAGAACTTTAAGAAGCAAATATTTTACAAGTAAAAAATCCAGAAATTTTAATTAAAAGAGCATTTCCCAAAGACAATTGAAGTTCAACTAGAACAAAAACAAAAAAACCCTTCGTGGCAGGCCCATGAAAGCTTAATTTGGAGGTTCTGAGCTCAATGGCATGTAAACCTTCTCACCGGTAACAATTTTCTAATTAAGAAAATATATTAAAAAAATACAATGTTATCAACGAAAATAATGAGCCACAATAGGTAAAGCTTGACTGCTGATAGTTCATGACAATATTTCTTTTAAACAATGAAAAACGTTAATTACAGATGCAGGAAGAGTTGAAAGCTGAGACCAACATTGTACTAAGAAAATGCTAATCAGTGCTCAATCTGCAGGATGCAAAGTAATTGATCTACCCTATTTTTATAGACCTCAGAGGAAATTTTGAAAGCAATACATGCCCATTGTAGCTTCAAAAAACAAGCACCAAAAATTCAATTTGAGGACCAAACTTTTCTTTGGACAAAAGAAACCATTCAGAATACAACCCACAAAAACTACACTTGGCATAACGCAACTGACCCAACTCATGCATAGTTTCATACCTGACAATCCAGAGATAACGTTACCACAACAATTAAAAACTTATAAATTATGATTTCATCAGTAGGTCCTACACTTCCCCGAAAAAGGATAAAAGGCAATGTCATAACACACAAATGCTCCTCCATTCTCAAAACGCCAAGTTGTGCTATTTAGTTGTTAAAAAATAAACCAGAAGCAAGATGCGGCGAGCAAAATTCACCAACCTTGGAGCCAAGAGTCAAGCTGAGTCGAGTCGAACCAGGCATAGAGCTTGAGATTTTTCAATTATCGAAAACGGTGTCTTTTGGCACCAACTTCGCCTTCAAAAAGCACGTTTTGCGAATCCACGCGCGTTCATGGCTAGGGTTTTCCTGGCTCAGAGAAGGAAAAGCTAGAATTACGCGAGATACAGGCTGAGTGAGGCCGAGTCACCAGAACGAGTACGAGACCGGAAACGAAGAGCCAGAAGAAACCAACTCGGTTTGTCTGTTACTGTCAAATAAATTCCGTTTGGGTTGACACGTTCATTGATTAGTTTTACAATATCAAAGTGATGACATATATTTGTCAATTTAATCTGATTTATAATTATGGATTTTTTTTTGTTGGCCAAAAAAAAAAATTATGGATTTTTTTTTAATTTTTGTCTTCAAATTGGGCCTGTATAAGCATGGGCCGAAACATAACCACAAGTATGGGCCCCTTATTGAGCCTGTTTGGATCAAGCCTCGAGTTTTCTTTTTCCATTTTTTCATATTGGTTTGTGGACATGAAGCCTCAAGCTTGACCAATGAAGGTTAAATCTAATAGAAAGAGTTAGTCTCTCATAACATAATAAATTAATATTTGAATTCTTATTGGGAGAAGTTTTCATATTTAGTACCTGACAATGCCTCAAATAGGATTGTCTCCAATAAGAAGATACCTATACTTTAGTCCCAAAAAAACAAGAAGCCTCAAGGTTTTTTTCTTTGGGCGGCAAAACTTTAAGGGTGTGTTTGAATTAGCATGGCAAAAGTGGTTTTTATTTCATCTGACTTTTACAAACATACGTTAAGATAAAAGTCAGTTAGTGTAATGTGATTTATGTTTGGATTGACTTTTATAAAAGTTAGTTTAATAAATTAAAACTTGTTTGGATTAGTAATAGAAAGTAAGTTCAGATATAAAATGACTGAAAAAAATATCATTTTTTCTAAGATAATTTACCTAACTTATAAATTTATTTATAATATAGTAGTATGTATGAATATTTTAGAGGGATTACATAACATATAATGTAATCAAGTAATTTATTTAGCTTTTATAATCTTTTCAAATTAGTCGACTGAGCCTTATGTTAAGAACTTGGACAACATATCATATATATAATTTGATAAATTTAACAAAAATAATTAAATTATTAGTAAAAACAAATTAAATTATTGGATTAAGGTAGACCCACTTAAATGCCTTGATCTTTCTTTTCATTCTCATTTGCTTTCCCTCTCCATGATGACAGTTGCAAAAGCTCAAAATTTCAACGTTTCAAGCAAAAGTTGGTTGGACAAAAAGTTTATCCAAACAACTCAAAAACTCTAACTCACCCGCAAACTTTAGGGCCCGTTTGGTTCATCCCCATTGCAGGTTTACAATGATAATCCTTATTGTATTACCATAAATGACATTTTGGTTCAACTTACTAACAGTAAAAAAGATTACAACAGTAATATCAATTGCACATTTTTTTGTAATATCTATTTCTATGCGAGGGGCTATGAATGATCTTTGCAGGGTTGCAATCTCTCATAAATGTCCATTTTATCCTCTGTAATCAATGTGAAAACACAATATTTGCTCTTAAACGTTATCCATCTCCAAACTTTATCTTTTTATCTCCCTCACTCCATTACCATCATCACTCCCTCTCCTTCTCCCTTGTCTCTTTCCTCCATTATCATCACCTCCTCATACTACTTCACCTTTACCTCCAAATATGTCGATCCTTGTCCCCTCTCTCCAGATCTGTGCTGTTTTGGGTGCATCACATGTAGACCATAGCTAAAAGAGTTGATGAAGAAAGGGAATTGTTGTCGGCAGTGAGAGAACTCAAATGTAAACATAGCACAAAGTTGTGGAAGATGGACAATACACAAGGGTCGTCGTAGTGAGTGACAATGAATGTTGAAATGACATATGAGAACGGCATTGCGTCTAAGAGCTGAAAACGAAGAAGGCATCTGTATGGAGAAAAGCAAGGCTAATTTGGTTCTTTCCTTCTTGTTCAGTATAGTCTAATTATGGAGAGAAGAAAATTGAAAGTGTTTCAAATTGGAAAATTCAAGACAAAGCTGAAGCAAAAATGGAGGTGGGCTACGAGTTGTTAAAGAGGTGCTGTGACTTGCAAGGATTTGACAAAGGGGGATCAACAATTGTAGAAGAGGTGTAGGAGCATCATCTCTATTTGTACTTGTGATTGGGGGTATTCTAGACTTTTAATTTTTTTTTTATTTGATTAAATATGAAAGATAATTGTCTTTGCCAAATCTTATTAATGACTTATCAAACATATTGATGGTATGGAATATTACATTACATCCCATTGCATTACGTTACCATCTATAAGCACTTAGTAATTGAACCAAACAGGATCTTAGTTTTGTCAATTTCAAGACACATTTGGTCCCTCCGATGGTGATCCAACCATGTGCTAAGTTTGGTTGTAGACTTGTCCAAAACACAATAATGATGTTAATGGCATTATAGTCCAACCATATAGAAACTCTTATAAATAAGAGATCATGAATTCGATCGCACCTATAATTTTAAGATTTTTTTTATATAAAAAAATTTAGATGTGTTGGGATCCGGAAGCTTATTAAGATCATAACATGCTTCCAAGCTCAAATGGCACTTATAAAACTTTTTATAGATTGCTTACCAACAAGGTATTTATATCGGCATCGTAGTTCCTCCTTATGAAAGAACATTTTATTTCTCAAGCCCTATTATGAGAATAATATTATGAGTTTGAGAGAAAAGAAACTGGATTGATCAGTTTTTGAGAAAATCCATTCTTCAAAATCACTTTCTATTCAATACAAACCAGCCTATGATGAGTTGCTCTCTAGCGCCACCAGAGGGGAACAGACTTCTCTCTCTTTATGCGGCTTATTTGTCTCTCCTCACCTATGGGAGCATGGTCATCCAAAAACAGTAGTGCGTGTTATCTGGCGTCTTTTTGTCATGTTTTTCAAAGTTTTCATATATATGTGTGCATATATATTGGCGGAAAAATTTGCATCAAAATATGTGTACAAAATTCGCGGAGTACCTGTAATTGGCAAGTATTCCTCAGTTATTAATATAAAACATAATTAATTAATTTAAGTAAATTAAATGTTAATTAAATTAGTTAATATGAGATTTTTTCTAAAATATTCTAAACATCTTCCTTAATTTTTTTTCTTCTCCTACCTGATTATTGTTGAAAAAATATTAACACGGTTAGTTTTAAAAAAATTGATAAATATGTCGAATAGGACTTACAAATGTGACTAACATCAACTCTTAATTGCATCTTATATTAAGAACTGGAAGAGTATAAAAGTTAGGGAAAATTTCGAAAAATTGCACACCACTTAAATTTCAAAGCATCAAATGAGTCTTGTTTTTTTTTTTTTATAGTTTAATAACAATTACCTACACTTAAAACATTTTTGTAGGTTTTTTATTTAGAATTTTAAAATTAAAGTGCTAATTTATTATATTCTTCTATATCAAAGTAGGATTTTTTTCCCCTAATTTTTTAAAGTATCTATTAAATAAAAGAGTTTGTTTGGCCAAAAAATAAAAGATTAATCTTTTCAGGTTGAGGACAGTTAAGGTAAAATTATTCTTTTAAAAACTGAGATCTCCACAAATTAAATAATTCAAAGTTTCCCACGAATATTAAGCAACCATAAGAGCAAAACCAAAGTTGTTAACCAAAGATGAATGAATGTCATTGCATTCAAGTAAGTAACTTCACAGTTCTTATGACTAATTTGGTTTACCTGTGTTGACAATAAATTTAAAATTTAAACTAAAAAAAAGGGAAAAAGAAAAAAAAAAAGAACGAAAAAAAGTTTGTATGGATGGATTAAGGCAAAGCCATGAAGAACGCTGCACAATTCACCAACTACCTATCACAAAAGCACACAACAAATCAAAGCAGATCCAACAATGTCTCCATCAATCCATCCACCTCAAAGGTCGATCATGAAGTATAATCGGAACAAGAAATCGAAGAGTTTGGTGAACAAGAAGCAGATTTTGCGGAACATAGCAACTTCTTCTCTTGCCCACAATCATAATCCTCCGCCATCATCCTCCTTGAATCCGCCATCGCCAGATCTCCACAGCTCGGGCTGCTCAAAATCGCGTCCAGGTTGAAATCGGCCTCCTCGGGATCTGGCCTGAATAGAAATCCAATGTCGTCGTCGAATCTTCGTGCACCATCACCGAACGCGCTCAGTAGGTCGACGTCAGGAAGATCTGGAACCCTAAACTGCGAGAATCCGTCGTCGTCCATGAATATCCATGGAAGCTCCTGTTCATCGGTGGTCGTAGTAGGCTCCACAGGAGCAATCGGAACGGATTCTTCGTTCGGTGGAGAGATCTGAATAGGGTGAATTTGAGGATTTTCTGGTTCGATTTCTTGGTCTTGTAGCTGCTGTTGTGGTGGTTGCTTCTGATTCTGCAGATTTTCTGACTCGGAGGAGGAGCAGGGGGAAGAGGATGAATGGGGAGGTGCTTCTTCTTCTTCTTCTTCTTCTTCATATTCATCTTCTTCCACTTGTGATGGTATTGTGATTACAGTTTGAACTTGCTGGGATTCGCCATTGTTGTTCTGGTTGATGAGGGTGATCTTGTCAATGTATCTGCTAATGTCGAAATTGGTCACCGCATTTGCGCCTCTGTATTGGATAGCTGCCAAGTCGTAAGCTGTGGCTGCTTCCTCTTGAGTACCTGAAGATTATTGGGAATCAAAAGTAATTAAATAGAATTAGATTAAGTTAATTAATTCTTTTTTTCCCTAATTTAGGACATGAACTTAGCTAATCACATGCAATATCCTCATGAACAATGAACAGTATCAAAATAATTAATTAAGGGGGGAAAAGCTCATCAGAATCTATACCCCATAATTTATGTTCCATGTTTACTAAAGATGTCACATGATTAGCCAATTTTTGATACACTGTCACGTGATTATCACTCTTGGAGTAACTCAAAGGTTCATAAAAAGGCCTTTGTGATGTCACGGGTTAAAGCTGCGTGGGTCAGTATGTGAGCGTGGGAGGGTAACAATAAGGCAACATATAATAGAAGAAAAAGAGGGAAAAAAAAGCCTTTAAAGTTTAATATGAAAGTCTTTATAATTTTGTCTAATTTTTAATCAAGTTTATAGAGTTTTTTTAAACTAAGTATTTACAGTTTCGTTACATTTTAATGTATAGTTTTTTTCCAATCAAGTCACACATCAAAGAAGAAGGGGAAAAAAAAGAAAATTTAATCTGCAAATCTCTATAATTTTATTTATTTCTTAATTGGATCCCTATAGTTTTTATTTTTTTTATCAAAGTTTTATAATTTTACTAATTTTTACCCAAATTCTTATAATTTTTTCTTCTTTTTATGAGGTTCTTGTATAGTTTTATTTGATTTTTAATCAGGTCCATCAAGCAACTCGTTAAAAGGAATAGACCTGATTAAATATTAGTATGAGGATCTAACAAAAAAAGTACAGAAAATTAATTAAAAATTATATGGAACTATAGGAATTTACAGATTAATTTAAAAAAATAATAATTTGTGACTATTTAATGAGTTAGTTAAACCCAAAAATAAACTACTAAAGAAAAAAGATAAGATATACAGAAAAGTATCTGAGAAAGCTGAACTTTACGTACTATGGCAGAGAAAATGATAAAGATTAGCAGCAACAAAAAGTAGTAATTAAATATGTGGTTAAAGACTGATATAATAAATTAAGCACAGAAAAAGGAACAAAAAAGATGACTTTAGGATGCAGTATCAAAGAAAGTAAACCATTATGTGCGATGGGAAGGATTAGAAATCACGTGCCCACCGGGTGTGTTTGTTAGAGGCAAGTGTTGTTGATCTAATCTCTTTTTCTTCAAAATCTCCGTATCTTTCAGTTAAATACGCCATTGATCCGACTGGCCCACAATTATTTTCTTTTTTTTACAAAAAAAAAATACTGAACAGATTCCTTTGGACTGACGCTTTGGAAGGATATCGTAGAGAGGGATATTTAGGTAAGAACAAAACCATAGTTTCAGAAGTGTTTTTATAGTATATGAAGTAAATATGTAAAGGAGTTTGTCTCGATTTACGGAAAAGTACTTCTAAGAAGTGATTATGGAGTGTTCCAAACACCCCGTGGACTGCGTGTAGATTAAAATTGAATCTTGTGATCTTGTTCCCCCGCCCCACACACACATATATATAGAGGGGGAGAGAGAGAGAGGATGGGGTATAATCCAGTTCAAATTTTGCTCCGCAACATTTCTCTTCTTTCATATATTGTTAATTTTTTTAAAAAAAAAATCGTCTTTTAATTTTATAATTTTAATTCAATTACAAGTTATAACTTAGTTTTGGGAGTTTAGCATACCCTTCAAGTTTTGATGGTTAATTTGTTAATTGTTAATCCCTAAACTTTAAAATATTATCTAGTCACTAGTAGTTAAGATTCGATTAAATATCAAGGATTGGGTTGTAATTAAATCAAAACTATACATACTAAATAGTTAATTTTTTTTAATTGTATCATACTCAATATAATTATCGAATATAAGAGATTATAGCTATGAATTATAAACACCATTAAAAAAAATAAGAAGATAATCCATTTCTCAATCTTTATGAAACATGCATTTTCAAGAAAGAAGTAAGAAGTCAAGGATATGTTGTATCCTCCAACATATGCAAAACCACCGGCTTTTATGGGTTTAGGGCTAATTGTCAAATGTTGGGTTGGTGTTAAGCCAACTAACAGGGCATCAATCTTGATTAACTCTAATAAAAAATTGTTTTCATAAATAAATATATATTTTTGCAGAAAATAATTTGAAGATTAAAATATGAAGAAAATAGTTTAAAAACTCATCTTTCAGAAGGTACTATTTGAAAGAAAATAAATAAGGGAACCGACTTAACATATTTTCTTTTACATGCTTGAAATAATTTGTAGGAAGAATCACAAAATTCACACCAGCAACAGTAGCTCTAAAATTCAAAGGAAAATATATAATATTTCAATAAGCACATATTAATGAAATTCAAATAAATCAAAATTACGAATAACAAAATAATAGAAAAAAAGTCTTCAAGAAAACTCAATTGACAATAGAATCATAGGGAAGCAAAAAAAATTCAATAAATAATTTTATTTTTGTGCTAATGATCCATGACCCAATCACCAAGACAAAGGGGGTAAAAAATAAGAATTAAATAACTAATTTATAGATATTAAAAACTTAGTTATTTGTAATAAATTGATATTGCCTTTCTTAACTCCTATTTATCATGTGTATTACAATAATGGAACTACCACCCGATGAAAAGTAATTATCATAAAGAGTACTTAAAAGAAAAATGAATGAATATTGAAAACAAAGTAAATTGAAATTTTATATTTAGAACTAAATTAAATCTTCAATTAACTCTTATATTAAGAATCGGAAGTAGTAGAATCCAAACTCTCACCTGCTTATTAAAATTTAAAAAAAAAATGGTTGCATGCAAGAAGGTATTAATATCTCAAATAAGATTAATCTCACACCCAAAAATGTAGAGATACTTTAGAAAAAATTTAATATTTGAGATTTGGCATCAATATTCCATAGCTTTAATTAAATCCTGATCTCTACACATAACTCCCTCGCGGTGGCCACTTTGAACACATTGGATCCATTAATAAAAGGGGGGGAAGGCACATGATTTTGCTACTTTCAGCATTAACTCTCATACCCCCCCCCCCAAAAATTAATTACAATCTGGTCAAAGTAGAGATTTGTGCATGTGGACCAAAGTGGTCCCCACAAAATTTTTAATACACCAAACATTATTGATTGTATAGTGTGTGCAACACATTGATGCAATAAAGTTTGAGTCGTTAATGTGTTTTGTGTGAATGTCTTTGAAATGTTGTGTTTCATATATAGTACTTGTCTAATCTATAAGTCACTTTCAATATGTTTTATATGGATTAAGAAAAATTTTAAACTTTTATAACTCTCATTTAAAATTTAATAATTTTTCAACTTTATACCTATTTAATATATAGTATATCTTATGAAAACAAAGTCAATATAATAATAAATAAAAAGTAAAATTATATATTTATATAAAAAATGTCTCTTATTACCTTATAAATAGGAATAAAAATTTTCTATTCTCCTTATAAGTAGACTAGAGGAGTATAATTGGAACGGACTTGAGGCGTTATTCTGTGCATGCACCTAAAATATTTAATGGCGTTTGAGGTTTCCATTAATTTGTGTCGAAAATGTTATTAAATGAGATGGGGGACCAAATGCTTATTAATAAACTAAGATATTGTTGGATTCCAATCTAGGAAGGTATGATTCAATGAGATATCAGAAAATATTAAAATTTGAAGCTTTGTGGTTGGGCAAAAACAAAAGCTTTGTGTTGTATGATACCACTCAAATCCTTAATATAAGTCACTTGTAACATATTCTCGTATGCTAAAAAATAAATTAAATTAACAAAATTTTCTAACATTTTCTTTATTCTCTCTCTACATTTATTTTTTTTAAAAAAAAACAATGGCTAAGCAATAAAGAGGATTTACCATACTTATACAATCTAGCTAGGTGTCTTAAACTTCGTAACCTTTAGATATAATTAAAAGCATAGTCTCCTATATTAGTTTGGTGAATTTAAAATTTCAATCTCAAAATACTTAAGGAAGAGTAAGTCCAAATAATTTATCTTAAAATTTATTTTTAAAAAACAAGACAATTGTAAAATACTACCTCCAGTCCTATTTATAACATATTGTTTATAAATTACAAACAAATTCTTATAAATAGAACCGGAGGTAGTAAGTTTTATGAGACGAAATAGAATGAAACTTACTGTATGTACCCAAGTAGAGATACTTGTTGCCTAATACTCTTCCAATCCGAGCTTCCCATCGACCATTATGGTGATGCCTATTCAAATCAAATAAATTTTTTGCATTAGATTAATGTTTAATATTAACCAAAGTTAAAGTCTTGTGTCGCATATATACTGACCTAGCTACTCCTCGATACTTAGAAACCCCTCTAGAAAATCCACTGCTTTGCCGTCGCAGTGAAGCTAAGTACTCTTCTTTTGTGACCTTCTCCATTTCCTCAAGCTCCTTCGTATACATTTCTATCTGCACAATCATTAATAAAATGCAAAATTAATTCATTCATGTCATTAAGTTAAATTAAAATATCATTGATATCATAATCACAAATATTCTTCTTTCATTTTAGTCGCCCGCATTTGAACCCCAAAGGCACAAGTCAGCTGGTGATAATTACAAATTGTTTTTGCAATTAACCTAAGTTAAACATCGAGTTTTATTAAAAGTACTCATGAGAACTCAAACATGGGAACCTTATAAGTATTTATTTAAAATAAATTCCTGGCCCTTTGTATTTCTGAAGCTTTAGGCTAGACAGCTTTGTGAATAGTGCAGTTTGCAGTACTGGTTTTTATACTGATAGTGATAATTTAAGCATAAAGTATGGAATTTGTTGTTTTGACTTATGAAAAAAAAAAGTATGGAATTTTGACAAAATATGGGCAAATGTGCCCGATTAATTTAAATTAAATAAACACTGGTATGATGGTAAACATTGTAACATGTGCTTCAAAAAGAGAAATAAATTAATGTACCGGGAAATTCAATGTTGAATCTCTTCCCCAGTATTTAAGAGCAGCAAGATCATAGGTTCTCGCAGCAGCTTCTTCATTATCATAAGCCCCTGTAGATATTAAAGAAAAAAATAAGAATTTTGATGGGAGAATAAGACCAGTGACCAACTCTAAAAATGATAATATAATTAATTGATTATTCCGAAATTTCTGGTAATTTTTTGAAACATTAATTTAGAACAGTGAGTTAGGCCAAAAAAGGGAACAGTGGGAAGTGATAATTCACTTAAGACAAAATATTTATTTTGAAACTCCAAAGGCTTTGTCGCACTTCATCATTTTTTTTTGGGGTATGATTTTAATATATCTGACAGTATGATTTAGTTATAATTTTAATATTTCCTACGTAATAAAAATAATGAAAATAATCTGCAAAGTTGGAAGAAATTTTCTTAAGTATTTATAAATTTCCAATGGAGCAAGAGCGGCACGGGTACAAGCAGAGGGATTTAAACATAATTTATCTCTCGTAAATATAAATTCGATTTGGCTATTCTATACCAGCATACATACAGCACCATTGAATTTTAAACCGTGAACAGGTATTTCTTAACGTAGCAAATTAAAATGTTTGATTTTTTTGTTCAAATGAGTAAATAATGAGAGAAAAATAAGGCGTCAAATGAAATAAATCTTTTTTAAACTCTACAATTTATAAATAATCTTTATTTTCAAGCTGGTCTAAAATGAGTCATAATCTAATCTAAACAAATATCGAAAATGAGTCAACTTCTATTACAGCTTCACTACATTCTAAAAGTATGGCTCTCTAATGGTTGAGGCTACCTGACATAATCCCAAATTGGAAAATTCATTAAGTTTTGTTTGTCAGAAAAATAGTATGTACATAATTTAAAATTCAGCATTTGGCTTTTTTTAAAACTTATTTTCTTGAAAATCTAATAATAAATTTTGAGAAATGAGAAGAGCATGAGATCCGAGAACATGAAGACTTACCCAAATAAACTAAGGCAGCGACAAAAAGGCGTATGTGAACGTTGGCATTGACAGAGAAAACACATCACAGTCAGAAAACACAACATAGTAATAATAACACCGTAAAAAAAACAAATAAATTAATTAACAAAGGTATTAGATCTCCTTGATTTTCCCTCACAAGTTTTCTTTATTTTAATAAACAAAACCTCTCCCATTTTTTAATTAAATAAAACAGAAAAAATCCCTTTTTATAATTTAAAAAAAAAATAAAAGAAGAAGAAGAAGTACCTTGTCGTCCCTTCTTGTTCTGGAGATTGTTCCAGCAACTCTTATCCCAGAGATGAGCTTCGAACCTCCCAGTCCATCGATGCCTACGGATCAAAATCACAAATTCCTCAAATGTATTCTCACATGCAAATACAAATTCAAAATCCACTTCATTGAACACACCAGAAAAGGGAAAAAATTCAAAACATTTCGTTCATTTCATGAACAAGCAACGGCAATTGTCTCTTTCTTCGACAATCAATCTCGATTCAGTTCAGTCCAAAACCGAAAAATCTCGATTCAGTCAAACCACTCAGCAATTAATTCTCACTATATCGATCCAAGAACACAGAGAAACGCGACGATTAATTAGTTACTCACCTGGTGACTCCTCTGTAAACGGAACTTCGTCCGCCATTAATGGCGGAAGACCTCGACCTTATAGCTCTCACCGTATTCGACCTATTATCACCATCATCACCATTGCCGTTACCGTTACCGTTACCACGACCACTCCTTCTGGCACGCTTATTACTCGCTCTGCCCCGCGCTTCCGTCTGATCAGGATTCTGAAACTCGAGAGAAGAAGACGAAGAGGAAGAAGAAGGCGACGGAGATGAAGAAGAGCAGGAAGAAGAAGAAGCACTGGAAGACCTCTTCATGACTGTATGTGAGAAAGAGAGAGAGAGAGAGAGACAAGAAGAAGAAGAACACAATGCGATGATGGTTTGTGTGTGTATTTGTAGGAGCAGAGAAGCAGAGTACAGTTTATTTTGGTAACCTAAAGTTGTTTACCAAATGCGAGAGAGAAGCAGAATTAAAAAATAAAAAAAAGAAAAAGGAGGAGGCGAAATTGAAGGTTGAAGGCGATTTGGAGAATAAAAGGGGGTAAATGTATGTGAATTGTGAGTGGGGGATGGGTTAATTAACCAGGATGGGTTGAAGTAGGAGTTGGGTTAACTAACTGTGGTTAGTCAAGGAGGTGTTGAGTTATTACACTTGGCTTAAGGGAGCAGCCATGCTACCAATGAGAGCGAGTTTTGTCTCAAGTTGCTTCGCTTTGCTTCCGTTCCTTAGGAACCTTCCTGTCTCTATTTGGCGCCGTTTTAATAATATCTTAGGGGGTGGTTTTTCGGCGCATTGAGTTGCACGAGTCATGAAAATGTGCATCAGCAATAACAAGCCTTGATGTGTCGCACCGGGGAACGGGAAAAAAAAAAAAAAAGGACAAAAATTGGGCTATAATTGGTTCTTTGTCTTGAAAATAATTTTTTCTTTTAAAAAAAAGCAAAAAATTATTTAGTAATTTATTTTTAATTGGTTGTTTTAAAAAACAGAAAATAGTGATATGTTTTTAAAAACTACAAAATCAAAAAAAAAATTTAGATTTTTTTGTTTTTGTTTTTTATTTTTTGTTTTAAAAAAATAGAAAAATTTTATTCTTTTCTTACCCACCGGCCGCCTAGTGTCACCACCGGCAATGGCCACCGTCCACCAAATGTGTGCTTTTTATATATTTTTTTCAAATAGGATTTTTTAAAATAATTATCCAAATGGATTTTTTTTAGCTTTTATTCTTAAAATTTGTTTTATAAAATTATTTTGAGAACAAAAAATGAAAACAAACGAATACTTTGTGTTTCCTTTTTTTTTTTATCATTCTGGTTTTATTTATAAGGCAGATTGTGAAGAATTATTTTGATGCTAATTATAAGCTATGTCATTAATTTTCTATCATTAGTTCATTTTTGTCCCTTGCAAAATGTTTGTGTATGTTATTTAATTTTTAAAGTATGTATATTTAATGGGAACGAAGTTGAGAATTTATTAAATTATTAGACCAAGTTAATGAGCTTTAAGATATTCTTTCATTTTTAATAATATACGTTTAAATTTGAGACGGTATAAGATGCGAATAACCAAATTATATAAGTTAAAAAAGTTGGTTAAAATTTATTAAATTTAATTTTTTTGGCTGAAGTTAAGGCTAATAAATATGTATAAAAAACAATTTATTTTATAAAAGTACCTTTATATATAGAGGGATGGTGAGTAAAGGGATAATTAATGCAATAAAACTGACTAATAATTAAGAGGGGCATAATAAAAAATAATACTAAAAATTTTAATAGACCATTAGACATGTCATTTTTTTAAAAAAAAAAAAAACTTATACATGGGATTGGAGAGCATATCATTTTAGTTTTTTTTTTTTTTACAGAGAATGTTATTTTGTTTGATTTGCATGTTTTAATGATGGAATGCAAGAATTAACATATCATTACACCAAAATATCCTACTTAAAAAAATCCATAAAAAAATTTTTAATAAAAAATTAATCCACTCGTCATTCTTTATTCTTGATTTATTGTTTAGATAGAGCTCATTAATAATTCAAGATCACCCCAACCAACCCGTCATTTAATTCAGAATACATACATTACATACATAGGATGGCAACACATATATTTATATAGATGCTTTAAATTCTTGATTAAGGATGATCTAACTTCAGCAGGCTTAATTTAAAATGCAGGAATTGAGTTTCTATTACAAAACTTTAATTTGCTTCCTTTTAATTTGAATCATGCAGATCACAAAATCTTTTTTTTTATTGAGTTTATATTTTTGAACAAGTTAAGGTCTTCAGTCTTTTGGATTAAATAATCCAAACTTTATAACAAGAGTATTAAACATTTTGTCAAAATTTATATTCTCATTCTTTAAAAGAAAAAAAAAACAAATTAACTAGCCCTCGCCTGTTAAGCTGATTGTTTAGGATTGGGCCTTGTGTATCAAGTTTGTTAACGTGATGTCTAAGTAAATGTATGAGGATCTATTATAGATTCATCCTATCTAACATAGTATCACCTAGAAGAAGCTAGATCAAATGCTTTAGTTTTAGGGGGTGTTTGGATGAAAACCAAACTATGGTTTCAAAAGTGCTTTTACAGTTTACAAAGTAAATATATGGAGGAGTTTGCCTTGTTCTACGAAAAAGTGCTTTTCAAAAGTGAGTTTAAGGGTTGTCAAACACCCCCTTAGTTTGATTTGAGCCTGATCCTCTATCTAAAATCTTTTACACCAAAAAGAAATATATGGAAGATTGAGGGAGGGATGGTGGCATTCCCATGCTTTGTCCCTGTTCACAGAAGAAGGAGAGGAAGAAAGCGACAGATTCCTATGAGGTTTGATGGATAACTTACAACAAGTGTGAGGGTATAATAGTCACAAAAAGTTCGTTTCCCATGAAGTTGTCATTTTCCATTGGCGGTGCTGATGGAACAAGGTTTCCCAAGTTTAATACTCCAACCATTCTTTTTTTATTTTAAAAAAAATCTTTTCAATACTACTATTTCTAAATATAAAAAATAAATTATTTTTTCTGAAATTTTAAATTGATTTTTATATTTTTATACTCATTAAATATATACTATTTATTATCTCTTTGCAATATATTTCTACTCATAATTATCTTTTATGTACTCTCTTTATAAGCAAGGCTATAAGTAAAAATATATATACATCTTATATAGTTATTATTTTTAACTAAATTTAATTAATATTTTGTGATAATTATTTCTTATAATAAGGAATGGAAGGAGTGTAATTTTTTGTCTTTCCAATAAAAGGCATATTATGCGCCAAACTACAAAGGTGTTAAATTTCTCTCTTAGGCGTGCACCTCTTCTTATACTTCTTCTGCTTCTATATATAAAATATAGATAATCAAGTTATATAAATTAAAAATTTATTTTCGAAAATGTTCAAATATGAATCACTAAAGCAATAACAACTAATTAATGACAAAAAAAAAAGACTAACATTTTAGGTATCTTTATTTTTTCTTTTTTGCTCGGCACAAATATTTTTCTATTAGAAATAATCATATTTAAGACACTGTTGAGCATATCTCCTAATGGAGATTCAAACTTTAGTTTGCTATAATTTGAGAAATTAGCCATTTTTATTAAACTCAACTCTCTGTTAGTTTTAGATATCTTTCTTAAGTGTCTCTTTTCTTAATTTTGTTACTTGTTCCCACATTGGGCTTACCATCTACCTTGGGCTCGGCCCAGTTTATTTTAAGAGCAAACAGATTAATAGGAAATTAAAATTAGAAAAGAATTAAAAATTGAAGGAAAATACTTAGATCAAATTCTTGATATCTATTATATCAAATTCTCAAATCACACATGATTATGTGCTCTAATTTTTTCATGTAAGCTTACAATTAAGTAATAATATTTTCAAAATAAAATATATTATGAGTAATTGACTACTATTTTAAAAATAAAATAATTTAGACAAGGTATTGTCTAAAATTGAAATCACCAAAAACTAATCTTTATCAATTTTACTTTTTTTTTTTGGCTCCCCACCCAGTTCACCAGAACTTTACCCTGATTATGTCTAGATCCGACTCCTGTCACGCACCTGGGTAGGTGAGTCTCTCAGCGGGGGTTTTCTGTGTCCATGAGAAATAATTTTACTTTTTTTGCTATCGCCTATTTTCCCCCTTGCACCTGGTTTCTTCAGCCCACCATTTTACGTATTGGGCTTAACAATTTAATTGGATCATGTGTTGTATTAATTGGACCGAAAACGCAAAGGTCAGAAAATTCAACTTCTGGGCTAAAGTTGACTTCATCAAGAGATGTCATGCAATGTTCTTGCATATATTTACGTGTTAAATATAAAATTTTTAATAATTTGCATTATTTATATAACAAACAATTATTTATATAATCACATGATATTTAGTATTATTAGATCAAATTCAAATATTATTAGACTCAATCAATGATAACTATTCTTCCAGAGTTTTCTACATTCATATGAATTCAAACTCAATAAAACTAATGCTGGTTAGTCTTTCATAAATAAAGTTCAAATTTATTTTTAAAAAAATCTACGTACAATAATACACTATGCATTCTAGTGTTAGTGTATTTTATATCATCTCATATTAAAGTTTTACATTGTTGCACATTTTTATCTAATGCTTTAATTTATTTTAAGTCAAAATGCTAAACTCATTTAAAAGTCTTTAAGTATAATAAAATGAACATTTTTTTAAAATTGTTTGCAAAAATAAATATATGATATTATAATCAGTAAAAATATACTTACAAAATGACCAAATACCCTGATAGAAATTTAACCTTAGCTTTCTTTCCATAACATACTTATGTCTTACAAGAGAAAACTTAAATAATTTATAGTAAAATGAAAAGGCACAAAAAAAATGAAATAACAGAAATTCGGACATAGAATATTCAAAAAAAATTCAGACGTAGAGAAAGGCATAGGTTGAAATCTATGCGCATAAGTTAAATCAGTATTTTCTTTTCTACTCTATAGAAAGAAAAATATTTAAACTTTGAATCTTAAATATTTTAAATATTATTTTTTGTGATCAGAAATTTAGCCTATTCATCTTACTGGCTTCTGGAAAGTACAAAGAAGGAAGTTATGATTTTTACTTTTATAATTTACGATTATCTTGAATTTATTATTCAAACATGTATAAATCAAAACACCAATTATATTATTGGTTCGATCCTATGCATCAGAAATCCTTCTGATTTCTATTGGTTCAAGT